ATCAATTGAGAGGATAATATGGTTCTTGTCCTTTCTTTTATTACTGTGAGGTATCACGTTGATTGATTTGTGAATTTTGAACCACCCTTGCATCCCATGAATAAATCCCCTTTGGTCGTGGTGAATTATCCTCTTAATGTACTGTTGGATGCTATTGGCTAGTATCTTGATGAGAATTTTGGCATCCATGTTCATCAGGGATATTGGTCTTTAATTCTCTTTTTTGATGCGCCCCTTTCCTGGTTTGGGGATCAAGTCAATTATTATAGCTTTGTAATATAGTTTGAGATCAGGAAGTGTGATGCCCTTATTTTTGTTCTTTCTCAAGATTATTTTGGTTATTTGGGGTCTTTTGTGGTTTCATGTGAATTTTAGGATTTTTTTTCTATTTCTGCAAAAATCCTATTGGAATTCTGATAGAGATTGTATTGACTCTGTAGATTGCTTTGGGTAGTATGAACATGTTAGCAATATTCTTCTAATCCGTGAACATGGAGATCTTTCCATCATTTGTATTTTCTTCAATTTCTGCCATTAGTACCTTATTGTTTTCAGTATACAGATCTTTCACCTCTTTGGTAACTTTATTCTTAAGTATTTTATTCTTTTTCATGCTATAGTAAATGGGGTTGTTTAAATGGTATGTGTATGAGGAAGAAGAGAGTACAGTGATCTGCTGAACTCTATAAAATTGACAAATGTGTCATTAGCATTCTCCCATCATTTCTTCCTCACTTGCATGCCAGTTCTGTGCTCTCACGGTCTCATGGTAGCTCTGATTATCCTAATTTACCAAAGTTCTGCACTTTCTAAAGTGCCCCATTTTAGGGGTGCCTGGGTGGCTCAGTCGGTTAAGCCTCTGCCTTCAGCTCAGGTCATGATCTCAGGACCCTGGGATTCAGCCCAGCATTTTTGTTGGGCTCCTCACTCAGTGGGGAGTCTGCTGGAGGATTCTCTCTCTCCCTCTCCCTCTGCCCCTCCCTCTGCTCATGCTCTCTCTCTCTCAAATAAATAAATAAAATCTTTTTAAAAAATAAAAAATAAAATGCCCCATTTTAGAAATGTATTCTTCTCCCTGATCATCAAAACACTAATTCTTTCAATAGCTTCTGAGCAGATAAAGTATTAGGAGGAAATTATAAATTTGATATAAAGTACATGATTAAGGTTTTCATGATAAAATTAGTTCATTTATTCGGTTATGTCAGCTCAATAAATATTTATCAGACATTTAAATGCCAGTTCTGCTAAGTATACAAAGAGATCTAAAATTCAGTCTCTGCTTTAAGGAACTCACAGTTCAGAAGAAATGAATGATACACCTAACTTTCCCAAAGATGCTATCCATTTTAATGGAAACGTTGTTTCACAATGTGCTTTAATGGAAACTGCAGTTGTTTTCACAATATGCTTAAAATATCTGAGAGGCTGCCAGAGGCAATGAAGGACGGATTTCATTTTATGCCACTCCTCATCTTGAGTCAAACCAGCAATTCTGAATTACATAAAGATCCCAGAATAAACTAGTTAATGCCTCCATGCCCCCATGAATGCTAATGTCTCTGTATAATGCTCCACCCTTGTGCAATTCTTTTCATTCTTCAAAAGTCAGCTCTAATGTCAACACTTGCAAAGGAATTTTTATTGTCACTCTTTTCCTAATTGAGCTCCATTTTTGAGCTAAATCTGCACCTTGTGTGTCACACTGTGTTCCCTTTGTTTAAGTTTATCTCCTTTATAAGTCTGTGAGCTCCTTCATGCATAGATTGGGAATTATTCACCTCTCAGGCAGACCCATAAGTAAGGAACTCAACAGGAAAAATTGAATTAAGTTATTGAAAACCTCATATTTCTCTGCTTTCTTAAATAGATGACAGTGAATAAATCTTTTTTTAATAGTTGAGGTTTTTCACCACAGATTATGAATTATTTTACAATGTTGTCATTTAGTGTTTATCTTTGCTCACCCTTAAAAAAGATAATCAAAGATTTTGGTTTTATTCTAGGTAGTCTCCGATTTCAATGCTTTTTAATTTTCTCCCTGCATGTCAGTCAGCCACCTCTCTCTAGTTCTTTCTGGTGTCAGTGTATCTGCTTTCAACAGCCCACCTCTTCTCTTTCCCTTCCTTTCAAATGATCACATTCTAATTTCCAGGCTGGGAACTCAGAGTCCTAAGTTTATTAGAATAAAGGAAGGGACTGTGACAGACTCTCCTACAAATGGCTCAGGCTTAGCTCAAAAACTTTGTCATAACTTTTTATTACTATTTTCAAGCTTTTTATACTTATTTTATGTGCAACTGGATCCTAACTAGTTGTGGTAACTGGAATTCTGACTTCCATTTAAGTGTGATGTGTTTCTGAATTTTTACAGCTATCCATCCCAATTTTTTATTTATTTATTTATTTATTTAATTTTTTAAGTAGGCTCTACACCTACAGTGGAGCCCAATGTGGGTCTTGAACTCATGACCCTGAGATCAAGACCTGAGCACAAGCCCTGAACTGAGATCAAGGGTTGGACGCCTAACCTACTGAGCCACCCAGGCGCTTTTTTAGTTTATTTATTTTTTTTAGTAATCTCTACATCCAATGTTGGGGCTTGAACTCACGACCCCAAGATCAAGAGTCATATGCCCTTCTGACTGAGACAGCTAGGTGCTCCCTATCCATCCCACTTTTTTTAAATAAAGATTTTATTTATTTATTTAGAGAGAGAGAGTGGGGGAGGGACAGAGGAAGAGAGAGAGAGAGAATCTCTAGCAGACTCTGCACTAGCACAGAGCTGGATGGAGTGCTCTATCTCACAACACTGAAATCACAACCTGAGCTGAAACCAAGAGTTGGACGCTCAACCGCTCAACCGCCCGAGCCACCCAGGCACCCCTCCATCCCACTTTTAAATCTCATTCAGGTACATAACACAAGAGTTCTAAAACTGTCATGTTTAACATACATTTCTTTGAAATTGATATATTAACATCTGGATCTTTTGTAAAATAAAAAAAACTGACAATGTAGGAAGACTTTGAAAATAGAATTCCACACATAATTTAAAATTTTTCTTATGTGTGTTTTGGACATTTAAGGATATTTTAGAACCTACTTTCATCCTTTTGGATGTAACATTGTAATGATAATAAGTAATATGTAAGGATAATAGGCACATTGTTTTGAGCACTTTGTATACATCAGGCACTGTGCTAAACACACAGATTACCTCATTTAATCTTCATAATCCTAAAGGCAAATGTTACTATCTCTGTTTTATAAAAGGGACATCTAGACTTAGAAATTAAAATCTCCTATCAGTTTAAGCACAGGAGACAGAATCTATATGTTAATCAATCTTGAAAACTTATTTTAAAAGATATTTTCATCTCTCTAGTTATGCTTTGCCCACTATTCCAATAATATTTTGGGGGGGCACCTTTATCGTTAGCATATTATTCGTATACCATACAATTCAACCTTAAGCAGTCACTCACCCATTTTTTCCCCCCAATGGCAGGCCAACCCCATCACTAGGCAACCACTAATTTACCTTCTATCTCTGTAAATTTGCTTCTTCTGGACATTTCATATAAATGGAATCATATAATATGTGGTTTTTGCTTTTAGCTTCTTTCACTTAACATAATGTTTAGGTTTGCAAGGCTCATCCCTGTGGTAGTATTTATCAGTACTTCATTCCTTTTTATTGCTTAAAATATTCCATTGTATGAATATACCACATTTTATTTATGCTTTCATCATTTGATGGGCATTTGGATTGTTTCCACTTTTTGGCTACTATGAACAATGGTGCTATAGACCATTACATTTGTAAAAACATTTACAAATATTTGGGAGGATCAGTGGAAAAAAATTAGTAGGAGTTCTGAAAACTAGATGTTACAATAGCTTTTCTAGTAATTCTATACTTATTAAAGAAGATTGAAGTAAAATTCCTTTAACCTTAAACACTCAATAATTTTTGTATTTTATCTTTTTCAAGTGTTTGGCCTAAGATCTAAGTCCTGTAGTAGAAGAAACATTAAATCATTAGAACTATAAGTTATACATTGCAGCTAGGAAGTGTACTCAATATTGTAATCCATTTTAACCTTAAATCTTTTTATTTTTTAACTTAGTTTACTCTGCAGTTTGGAGAATACTTTAAAACTCAATTTTACATGACCCCTCTTTGAATAAAAGATGCTCTCCAATGTACCAAGTGATAAAAAATTCTAATAACAAAAAAATAATCTGAAAATTGTGTAGTACTGAGGAAACATTTTCATATTTCCTCCCTGTTTTTTGTCTATTTCTGGCAGGGAACAGACAATTTATAAAATCTTATCATTTGTTACTGCAATCTAAAATAATCCATCTTGCGGGGCGCCTGGGTGGCTCTGCTCCCTCTGCCCTTCCCCCTGGCTTGTGCTCCCTCTCCCTCTCTCTCAAATAAATAAATAAAATCTTAAAAAAATACAATTCATCTTGCTTCCCCTTTATAATAAAGGCGATCTTTAAAGAGGATTTGAGAAAATCCTAGTTGAGCATTTTGACATGCTTCAAAGCTGGAGCAAACATCTTTTGACCACTCTTTTGGGATTTGTTTTTTTTTTCATTCGCGGTCGTGGGAGGGAAGCTTCGAGTGAAAAATCTGGTAACTAGTCAGCAATTTGGTACCTACTAGTGAAAATGGAAATGATTCTAATGCCAACGGCGAAGAAAATAACATACAGAAATATATATATCCAGAAACTGTTCTTAAAAAATTCCGTATTTGGCGAGAGACTGCTACACGTCGGAAAACTTAAAACCAAGAAAGTGATCCTTCACCAGTTCGGACTCACGCCGCCAACCTTGTGCGTGATGCAGGGCTTTCTTGTTTGTCGCCTTGGAAACCGCAGCCTGACAGGTCCTCCGCAGGCTCTAGGAAGAGCGCCTGGAGGGGCAGGCGTTCTCAGGATGTCCTCTGCGCCTGCGCTGGTCCACCGCGCCCTCGTAGTAAGAGAGGCCCGGATGGAGGACGCGGGGACGCGCCGTTGCTATGGCAGCCGGGTCCTCTCGGCCGTGGGAGGAGGTGCTGGGGTCTCCCTCGCCTCCCTGTCAGAGCTTAGAAAGAGGAAGAGAGGAGAATTCCCCCGGCCATCTCTGTGACCCCAGCCGCTGCATCTTATACAGGCAGGAGGGGATACAGAGGGAGAGAACGGAAGGATGGTGTGGAGATACTTATGGTGGGAGAGAGGGTATGGGGGTAAAACGTCTGGGACAACTGGGAGGATAGGTGGTTAGAAGAGAGGGAAGAGCCTTCCCTGTTGGCGCCTGATCCTGCCGAGTACGGGTTCCACGGAACCTGCGGGGATGTCTGGCAACACCTTGCTTGGTTTGTACGAGGGAAAACCCGTCTGAGTGTAGCTTAGTCTCATTTTTATCATTTTCTTTCCCTTCTCAAAGTTCTCATCCCTGGGAGAAAAAAGTCACTCCTGAAATGATAGCTTCCATGAAGAGGCTCAGGTATTCATTTAGTTGATGGTACCTGGAGACCCTGGATACAAATTAAAGTTATCACCTAATGTGTGTAACATATCATTGTCATACTTTGTGACGGAGTATGAATTTAAAATTTTTTTACTCATAGGATTTCGGTTTGGAAAAATGCAGCAAGAAGAATGGGCCAGATGGTCTCATGATGTTATTAGGGGTTAGCTTTTGCTTTAGTACTTATTTTGTATTGAAACAGGTTCTCTTTGAGTGTTTTTTTTTTTTTTTTTTAAATTCTCTTATATTTTAGACAAGGCTATGTTCAAAAGGCCACGAGATAAGACTGGAGTCAGGGAATTAGATTAAACTATTTTCGAATGTCTGAATCCTGAAAGAAAGTTGTCAAAAGTGTATAAATAGAGACTTGGCTTAGACTCACACTAAAAGATCTGCAGTCACATACCCGCATGGGATTTAACAGACACCCAGGGGGAAGGAATTAATTTCTGTCTCTTACTACAGTTAACCTATTAAGCGGGTGGTTCTGATCTAAGCCACTTACACAGATTTTTACTGATGATAAACACTGAAATTTAAATGTGTGAAACTCACAGGATTAAGTGTTAGGTGATTCAGTTTGTGTAAGATACAATTTTGTTCCAGCATGATGACTGTGTACCATATGGCCAGTACCCTGGGGATGATGATTAAAAGAACTGAAGGGGATTGAATATCCTGTGACGCATTTGAAAAAGGCTTAAGGGACTTGGTAACAAGAGTTTATGATTTATGTTCTTTGTTTACTTGGCAACCAGCCATGAGGTTTTTCAAGGTACAGGAGAAGGCGACAGTACAAATTTAATGCATCTTCATTTACTTCTCAGAGTCACTGCAGCTGTGGCTTTTCCTCTTTTAAATTATGGTATAATCGTTTGATTTAATAACACCTAATATATTTGATTTGTAATCATTTTATTTTTATTTATTATGCTGATTTTTTGGTGTTAAATTTGAGTTTTCACATGGGTGAGAGTTTGTAAATAATAAAGCATAGCTAACAAAAGTCCTCGGGCAACTATTTATTTACAAATTCAGAACTATGTTTATTAAAAAAATTAAAGGAGAACACTGAAGAGTTCCATAGAAATCTTATTCTAATAATTAGTTATGTAACCTTAGTATCTTAAAATTATAAATTCCAAGATCCCTGGTCTGAAAAGAAAGCTGTTATCCTAAGGCACTTGTGACTGTGAAAAACAGTATTATTTATGTAAGTATTTTGGATCACAATGAGTTTTAGGTTGTGCTACATCATCCATGGTGCCCTTACTTTTAATTAGTAGTTAGACATAACCGTTGATGTGATTTAGCCTGTCTTGCAGCTAGGCAGTGGTAAATAAACTCACTCTGTGGTATTGATTTGGTTTCTCTAGGTTACCTCAAAGTATTATTGCTCTCAACCTTTGCTTTACAAATTATTGAAACCTTACTTTGAGTTCTTTAAGAAAGTCCATTTTGTATTCTTAGTATACAAGACATAAATATCTAGAAGGAATTATAGTCCAACTAATACACTGGAAATAGTTATAATTATTCAGTTGAATAATTAGGTTGAATGATTAACATTCATGTACATAAAACTAACTTTGTCTTGAGTGGAGGAAGGGTACCAATACCAAGCACTATTTTGAGAAAAGATGACATTTAAGTGAACCAGACAAGAATTTTTTAAGTCTTGGATTTAATTATTCAGGCACTGATCATTTGTTTTGGATTAAGCTTCTCATGATACTATGAGTTTCATTTTAAATTCTCTTGCTTTTCATGAGTTGGCAGTTATTTGCTAATTTGCAGGTTATAAAAAGTTTAAAATAAATCTTAAGGGTCATCTAGCTCAACAGTTTTGCTCTAAGTCTCTTTGTGTTGACAAGGAATGCAACACTTTTAATAGGCAGCTCACTTCATTTCAGGACAAGTTTAAAATCTAAATTCTGTTTTATTTTTATTTTTTTCATTTTATTATTATTATTTTTAAAAAGATTTTATTTATTTATTTGAGAGAGAGAGCAAGAGTGGGGTGAGGGGCAGAGGGAGAGGCAGACTCCCCGCTGAACAGGGAGCCTGATGTGGGGCTTGATCCTGGGACTCCAGGATCATGACCTGAGCCAAAGGCAGACTCCCAACCAACTGAGCCACCCAGGTGCCCCATTTTATTATTTTTTAAAAATATTTTATTTATTTATTTGAGAGAGAGAAAAAGAGAGAAAGCATGAGCATGGGGAGGGAGGGAGAAGCAGACTCCCTGCTGAGCAGGGAGCCTGTAGCGGGGCTGGATCCCAGGACCTTGAGATCATGACCTGAGCTGAAGGCAGATGCTTAACCGACTGAGCCACCCAGGCGCCCCTGTAAATTCTGTTTTAAATTGCCAAAATTTGTCCCTGAGTTTCCAGTCTTTAACAGTAGTTTTGCTATTTGAAGGTATCCTCCTTTACCTAGCAGCCATTTAAATAATGTAAAGCAGGGCGCCTGGGTGACTCAGTCTGTTAAGCTGCCTTTGGCTTGGGTCCTGTTCTCAGGGTCCTGGGATGGAGCCCCACATTGGGCTCCCTGCTCAGCGGGGAGTCTGCTTCTTCCCTCTCCCTCTCCCTCTGTGCTCTCTATTTCTCTCTCTCTCAAATAAATGAAATCTTAAAAAAAATAATTTAAAGCAGTTATCTTCTCTTCTTTAGGATAATATTCCCAGGGTTTTCAGGTATTCTGCAGAGTCTGGTTCTAAGGTATTTTACTCTCATAGCCTCCCTTCTTCCCTTCTTTCTCTTTTATCCCCCATTCTCCTGGTTTGCTAGCCTCTGAATGTGTTGAAGCTTGTCTTTTGACCTTTAAATTGTAGCACAGGAAACTGGATACAGTGCTTCCCACTTTCTGTATGTCTCACACATAGTCTTAGCTTGGAGTTTATTTACATTTTGGGTGTCCTCATCATTCTTTTAACTCATTTGAACCTTCTGTTCACTAAAACCTGTTACAATGTTTTTCATACACAGTATTGAAAAGCCTCATCTCTTTACTTAGCTAGTGCTTGTGCAGCTAGTGGAAAGATGTTCTCCCACATGCTTTCACTATTATTGATGGTGAACAATGGAAGGAAAATAATGTATATCTCCCTTCAGTAAAATTGGCACCAGTTTAGGTAGTCTAGCCAAAGGTTTGCTGATAGTACAGTGAAGCCAATGGCCAAAACAAAGTTTGTGGATAATTTATTAATTCAGACAAAATATCTTTCATTTTCTATCCTAAATAATGTGTTCTTGACATCTGTACTTTCTGCCTCCAAAAAGGGTTTTAGGTAACTTATTCTTGGTGTAGGAGCAAGAGAAGGCTCCTAGGTATAGAAACAGGTATACAAACAGGGTCCCAGGTGTTTGAGACCCTGAAGATGAGATTTCTATAGCTCTTTTGAGACTGAATCTAAAAAACTACGTACATTTAGAAAGCATTGCTGTTTTGTTTTTGTTTAAGTTAATGGTGGAAAATGTGTAGATTATTGCTATGTATTTCTACCTTTGGCTGCTTTTTGACAATTGGATCCACATAAACAATTTTCCCTCAACCTTTTTTTTGAACAGATAATCTGACATCAGATTGACCTCTTATCACTCCTTCAAGATTCTTCCTCAGGAACACATTATGTTCAGGCCTCTCTGGACAATTCCATGCACTTCCATGTTTGTTTGCTCTTTTTCATGTTGTTCTCTTTGTCTAAAATAACTAATAAACTCTTTTACTCAGTATTCAAAGCCCATCTCAGCTTTCCTTGGTATTTCCTACTTTAGACTGAGTTAATTGCTTTTTTATTCTTCCTCCCAATGTTCTCTCTCTCTCTCTCTATATATATATCTTTATTCCATTTACATGCATTTTTAACTTGTTTTTATCTACATTTTAAATTTATGGGTTTTGTTTATTCTGTACCATATGGGAAATACCTCAAGGGCATAGGTCTATTTTATAATCTTTATGGGAATGTATATAGGAATATTGTAGGTGTTTAACAAATGTTTGTCAAAACTGTAATATATATATATATATATATACACACACACATATATATGGTATGCTTACCCACATATACACATTATAGGTACAGATTTCTTTGCTTCTTTTGTTTGAAAAATTATACGCAGAACAATTCTCAGAGCTAGGAACTGACCTCAACTTGTAGATAACTTTAGAATTGTTCCCTTAAAAATGACTGAATTTATACATCATTTTCACAAACACTTATTAACTTTCATCTGACATCCCTATTTATTTGTCACTGTTTCCAGATAGTTTTAGGCATCACATTTTGTTTTTTTTTGGTGAAAAATATATCTCATTTAGAGTTGAAAACAGTTGACTTTTGTGGAAACTAGCATTTACAATAGTTGAGAATCAACTTAGTTGAAAAGCTCTCAGATCACAAATTATAATTATGCCATATAAACTACTAGAAGGATTAAAAAACTGAGGATGGGAATTGATATTCAGGTTTCCTCCATTATTTGAAAGTTTACTTCTCTTTTACAAAAGACCCACATCAGTACCTGTTTTTGCTCACTGAAAGAAATCTGAAGAGGATTTTTGCTTTTATGAAGCAGTAATTGCTTCTTTGCTTTATGCCATTTTAGCTTTTAAAAGGTTTCATAGGAATGCTCTACTTTCAGAGAGCAGAGGATACCTGTATTTGTTTTTATTGGAGCATAAAAACATGTGAATGAGTGTGACTTACAAGCTGAGTCATCTGCTCTGATCTGGGCAAGGCGTTTCAATGATGGCAGGGGATGTGGCAAATCCTGTTCTAAGCCTCAGATAGTCTTCTTATCCACCTTTTTTTAGTCTCCTTGTAAATGAGGGTTCCAGGAATGGGGGGGTGGAGATGGTGTTTAGGAGCAGTACATCTAGAAAATGTCTGGCCATTGTTGGTCTCTCTTTTGGGGTATACAGATACATGTTTATTCTGAACATTCCACGTTTTATGTTTCTGTGTGTTGATTAGTTTATCATATTAATCTCCATACTCCTTACTCCCCCTAAAGGTGACATAACATATACCTTATCTTTTTAAATCTTCTAGCATTATTCTTTAACAAACGGAAAATGGATGAAAATAAAGATATGGACTCAAAAGAAAGTGGAGAATATGAAGACGACTTTGAAAAGGACCTGGAATGGTTAATAAATGAAAAAGAAAAAAGTGGTGCCAGCATAATAGAGGTATATATAAATTGCCAACAGCATTCATAATAATATCATTAACAAAGTGCTTTGTAATTCTTGAAGAGTTTTGCATATATAATGTCATCTAAACCTCACAAAATTCCTTTGATAAAAATAGAACAAGTATCATTATTTCCACCTTAGAGATGAGAAAATTGAGGCATAAAGAGTTTATATGTTGTGTCCTAAGGTGAGGGTAATTAGTGAGAGAACAGGGATTAAGTTAGCACTTAATAAAATTTAAACTATAATTAAAACTTATAATTTATATAATATAAATAAATATGATTTATTGTACCAAAAATAAAAACAAGTACAGTTAATTTCTACTTTATATAAACTTGGGTAAAATGGGGTTTTACTTTTAATATAAATGAAAGGGTGGTTATACTTTTAATGTAATGGAGTTATACTTTTAATATAAATGAAAATAAAGCAAATTCTCAAAAAACATGGTCTTTCAGCTAATATTTGAAACCTTAAGACTGAATTAGCTCTTCAGGGGAATGAATATAGAGAAGAATGTAGAGTCAAAACAGTCATAGGACTACCTTTATGAAAAAGTGGATTGCTAGATTTGCTTATCAGACACCTAGCAATGCTGTGCAGATTAGGAAAAAGTGGATCCATTAAATATGATCATATACTGTTTATCAGACAGATAGAATGGAAATCCAGGAAAATGAACCAATTCCTAGATCACAGCCAGTTTTTTTCTCTCTTTATATTTATTTATATACATGTATATGGTGTGTATGTGTATCTATACATAATTTGTGTGCACATATATGTGTGTGTATATAAATATGTGTATATATGCTTATGTATATATGTATGAAGTTAGAGTCAATATATAGGAAAGTAATGAAAAAAGATGTAAGATTCATGTAAGAATAGGTGACTTTAGAAGGACTAAGAGCTCAGTAATTACACCGGAAGTCAGATTGAAGAAGGTTAAGGAAACGAGTATAAGAGAAAGAAGGCAGCAAGTCTTACATCACAAGTTTCTCTTAGTTACATTTTGCTTTCTTATGCAACGGAGAGGACAAATGGGACTGTATGTGAAAAAGGCAACAGAGTAAAAAGTCAAGATTTTTCTAAGATGGCCTTTAAATGGGAGTTTTATGCATCTTTAACAGAAAAATAATCAGGATGAGTACAGGCAGAGGTACCCAGTGGTAAGGTTAAACCAAAGTCTCGTTCCTGGAGGGGTGTGAGGTCCAGAGCACAGAGTGCTAGAATTAGAGAAGTGATGATCATGATTCATTTTCTCATTTCTCAATTCATTTAGAAAATATTATAATCACATGCCATGTATCAGAGGCTGTTCTGGGTGCTGGGGATAAAGCAGTGGTCAAAACAGAGTGCTCTCATCAATCTTACCCATTCCAGTGGATGATTATAAGCATGTCTTCCTTTGAGCCTGGCAGAAAAATCGGATGACAGAGAAAGAGATAGGGTGAGGGCTGGGGGAAAATTTTCTTGTAAGAAGTGGTAGTTTTATTGCAGAGGGCTTTTTATTTTTTATTTTTTCGACTTCTTTTGCAGTGGGTTTTAAAAAGTGAAAGTCAAAGAATAATTAGGAAACAGATACTGTCGGAATGAACCACAGAGTCAAATATGGCTTAAAAAAAAACCAATTTCAATGCAGAAATCTTAGTTTAATCTTACTTATTTGTTAGAGATTTTAATGGGCCAGGTTTATTTGCTCATCAGACATCTAGCAATGCTTGCAGGTTAGGAAGAGGTGGCTATCAGAAAAGATGACCTTTGAGCAAGTAAAAGAGGAAGAGAATTTTAAAGGGTTGAAGAGAGCAACAAGTAGTACCTCCCATAGAATTGTTTTAGGAGGGAGAGAGTTGTCTGAGAAAAAGAAAAAAATATTGCAAGGTGAAGGGTTTGTTTGGTTGGTGAGTATGTTTGTATGTGGGAGAGATGTTAGGTAGGAAGCCTTTAATTAGAAACAGCAGATGTAGCATAGGGTTTTGTGATGCGATAATATTGGTCTATGTGGAATTGTTCATTGGTCTATGTGGAATACTGTTCATGTGGAATTACACTTTTTTTTAAAGATATTTATTTGAGAGGGAGGGAGAGAGAGAGAGAGAGAGAAAGGAATTATGTTTTTTAATGTAAAACCAAGTTATATGATGGTGTTTGGCATAGATTATTGGGGCCTCTGAGGATAGTTGAGGAAGGAAAATGTCATCCAGAGATGAAAATTAGCCTGGAATTTGGATATAGATCCTGCAGAAAGTAGCAGCAATAATAATCTGAAAAGATTATAAGAACCTCAAAATGGTTAGAACTTGACCAAAGACTGATGTTGTAATGACTCTGGAGAGAAAGACACTTTTTTGAAGAATACAAATATTATAAGGAGAAAACATTAAAAATATTTTTCTTCTGAAAATTTAAAGGGAGGAAAACTTTATAGAGGAAGAATGTTGAAATAATAATGTCTTATTTGTAGTTACCCTTTCATTCATTAGCATGAACATTTAAAAAATATTAATATAGCACTTAGCAACATCAAAATCAGATTTAGGGTTAAATTTTTCCCAAAGTGCTGATGTCACATGTATTTCCCTTGGGGTGCTCATAAATGTGAATTAGAATATTAAGAGCAAAGTATAAAATAAAAAACATGTACATTTTCCCATTCATAAAATATATTGCATGAATATGAAATTCATTTTGGATTATCTACATGTAAATGGACAAAGAGTCTTAATTTTTATTCAAGAAAACTTCATATTTTTTTTAGATGGCTTGTGGGAATGAAGAGAATATTAACCAAGAATTAAAAGACAATGAAACAGAAGTAGAACACACCAAACAACATTCTGATCCTGACAAATCTTCGAAGGATGAGCTTTCACCAAGAAGAAATGACTTCATTTCTGTACCAAGTATTCAACCTTTGGATCCCATATCAGATTCAGACAGTGAAAACTCTTTCCAGGAATCCAAAGTGGAAAGTCAGAGAGACCTGGAAGAGGAAGAGGATGAGGAAGTAAGGAGATATATTATGGAGAAAATTATACAAGCCAACAAGATTCTACAGAATCAAGAACCTGTGAATGATAAAAGGGAGCGAAAACTTAAGTTCAAAGATAAATTAGTTGATCTGGAAGTTCCTCCACTGGAAGACACTGATACTCACAAAAATTATTTTGAAAATGAAAGTAGTATGTCAGGAAAACTGTCACAGTTATGTATTTCCAATGAATTTGGACAAGAAAATGTGCTCCTGTCACTAACTGATGGAAATTGTGAAGAAAACAAGGATAGGAAAATACTAGTAGAGAAAGATGGAAAGTTTGAACTTCTAAATTTACAAGACATTGAGAGTCAGGGGTTTTTGCCCCCCATTAATGCTAATAGTACAGAAAATGAACCTCACCAGTTGTCACCCAGATCTTCCAACTCAAATGTCAATGGGGCTAAGAAAGAAGAGCCTATAGCAAAGATTCATGCTATTGCTTACTCATCAACAGAAGAGCCACTGGCTTATATCCCTCAGCCGCCACCCAACCCCAAGACTCGTCCAAGCTCTGCTGTCAACTCGGATCGAAGTAAGGGGAATGGAAAAGCTAATCACAGGATACAGTCTGCAAATATATCTCCAGTGACCTCAACATATTGTCTTTCCCCTCGACAAAAAGAACTGCAAAAACGGCTAGAACAAAAGAGAGAAAAGCTAAAGAGAGAGGTGAGAACATAAGGGTGCATCATATTAAAAGCAGAATATATTTGCATGTTTTATAAATGCAGTTGGAATTAGAATGGTTCCTCAAACTATTGGATATATTTGTTTGCTTGTTTTGTTTTTCTATTGTTAGATTAAGTGGTTAAATATTAAGAATGCATATTTATGGGATAAACACCATGATTATCTTGGTCCTTTCTTGTAAGGTTCACAAAACATCATAATGAATGACTTGGGTTAGAGGTAGAGATCTCAGTGAGGACATCAGCTGGTCCTTTCATTTTAAAGATGAGGCTCAGAGAAGTGACTGCTGAAAGTAGCCTTGGTGTGATAAGGTGAAAATCAGATGTCAGGTGGAAAAATGAAGGCACAAATTTGTTCGGATTTGGGCGGCAATGGGTAGATTTGAATTATAATTCTCTGATTTACATGTGTATGTGTTTTCACATATCTTCCAAACCTACAATTCCTTGATTTCAGGGATTTTAGTTTTAGATTAAGAATAGAGCCTAATAACCTTAACAAAGTATTTCCAAAGTGCCATATGGAATCCCAGATGATGATGATGATGGTGAAGGTTTTGTTCTGTCGATCAAGAAGAGGCTGTGAAGTAACCAAAGCATTTATTTGAGCTTTTAGGTAAGATTGCAATCCGGGAGACACAGTGTCAACCTCAATCAAAAGTGTGCTCTGAATAGTGAGCAGGGAGTGCAGGCCTATAAAGGCAAAACCCACAAGGTTACACAACTTGTTTTGAAAGAATTATGATTGGTGATGGCAGAGTTTAAACTGACTAATACACATTGGCTATGTAGCTAACAGGTGTTACATTATTTCAGTCCAAAGTACCAGGTGATGGTGGTGGGGGGAATTGCAAATGACAAGCTACAGCTGACAAAAGTCAAAAGTTCATGGTAGGCTGAGAATTGAAACAGGAGACTTGAAATAGGAGACATGCATAGGCCCTACTTCCTCAATGTTCTTTCAACTCTGTTTTGAGTGGCTCTCTTAGCAATGCTTACTTCATTTTGAATCTTCTTTCAAATTTCCCCCTCCTCATCAAGATCTTTCTAGTAAGAAAGCACCAATGACAAATTTTTATGATCATGCAATCTCATTTCATTGTCAGAGTGGTTGGCAACTTGCAACTTGCTCTGGCCCCATCATGTCTCCTGGAGGGCGGAGTCTCATAGTGGTTGATGCTTGATATTTCAATAAGCATGCTAGATGAAAGTCTTACAACTACATTTGAGTAACATGGAGGTTTGAGGAAATAAGATTTAGAATTCAATTAGGTTCTCTTTTCTTTTCACTCAAAGGGTAGACCTGATGAATGGTTTTGAGTCTTTGAACAAACATTATCTGAGTTCTGACAGGATTTGAAACATTGGCCATGAAAAGCATTAACAGTGTGATAATAATGAATATGGAAGAAATTAAAACAACGATAAGTAAGATAATTTGTAGCCCAGATCTTAAAATGGTCCCAATTCTGGTCAGGAGCCAGCTAAAAATACCTGAGAATCTGAAATCTAACCAAAGATCTTAGAGGATGGGATTAGAGATTTAGCAAGCTTGAAAATCTTAGCAGTTTCCAATTCTGCCTGATGGGAAGTACTTACCCATGTACAGCAAGAAGTATTAGTGATGGCACAGACTCCACCTAGGGTCACAGGTAAATAACCTAATGCTATGCTATTATGGAGGACAACGTGAGATAAAGTATCCAAAGATTTCCCCTGGCTCTAATGGCTAGGGAGTGGACCTGGCAATTCTGCTGATGGTCCAAGAAAGATTTCTGATCATATACTCATTCTAAGCAGTACCTATTCCAAACCAGCAACTGAAGATCCTCCCAAATTGGGCCCCTTCCCTAAGGTTTATCTCTCTTGGGAGACCACGGCCTTGAGAATGCCCACAACTATTATCTTTATATTCAGAGGGGTTCTGGATGGGTCTGGATGATCATCATCTTTCAGTTCTTTTAGTGGAGAGACTTCTTTTAGTTCTATGCTTAGTTCCTATATGGTCTCCTTTAGTAATCAATTTAAGGACAGAAAAAGGGGAAGTTAGACGTCCCAGGAGGCACTGTCCTGCCATTCTCCAGCTGTCTAGGTAGTCAAATGCCCAAGATTCTTCCCTGTAAATGCAGGCAAAAATGTATCCTGTAGGAGTGCAAAGTGTCTCTGCTTAGATCTGTTTATTTATGGACTAATTTTTTGGTATAGAGGGTATGGTAGGAGAAAACCAGGGATCTGTTTTACTTTAGCAGACAGAAAGAGGGTAGCTGTGTGTTTCGTTGTTAGCTGAAAGAATCTTTTGCAAGGGTGGTCCTGCAGCTACAAGTGCCTATTGGAGAACACTTGTTATTTGTGCCTTGGCATTTCTGCAAGAGCCAAAAATAAGAGGATTATAGCTCTTGATAAATTGTTGGACCATTAGAAATATTTTTCCCTAGCATTTTGGGTGGTTGAAGTGAAGCAAAGGGGATTTCCTTTTCTGGGAGGCAAAACTATTTTAACTTGATAGGTGAGATCAGAGGGTGCAATCTGGTTTATAGTGAAATTAGGGAGAAGGGTGAAATTATAAATGAGATGACCAAGAGTCTCCTGATCTTCCATAGTGGGCTGAGAAAGACGTACTCAACAGCCAGAAGGATTACCAGATAGAACTTACTATGGCTTGGGTTATTTGAATTATGGCACTTGTCTACCACTTAGTTCCTCTAATTTGGGTAGTAATATGCAGGATCAGAAAGTATTTAATGTTTTAAAAACAATCAAATTCAAGTATTCAAAATCCTACAAGTAGGAATAACAAGAGTGCTAAAATGCCTACTACAAGAAGAATTATCCCAAATATTTCATGAACATTAAGCATTAGTAGGAGACTTTTGTGAGGTTATACAAGCTTGGTCATGACTCAGGAAAGCTGTCTGTCTACTTCAGGTACCATGTGCTTCTTGTCCAGATTGTTGCTTTTGAGTGGGTCTGGATATTTTTAGTTTGAGATCTTCAGTGGGGATGTCCATCAGGTGAAGATGCCTTTTTTTTTTTTTTAAAGAGAAATGTTAATCTACGGGTAAATGCCTTTAAATTTAGCAGCACAGGGGTTAGTTAACAATACCTGAGATGGTCCTTTCCAGTGAGGTTGGAGGGCATCCTTGTGAAGGTGACATTTCCAGTAAACAAATTTCCAGGTGGGAGATTATGATGTTGAAGATCTTTGTCTCCTATGAGTGTACTGGGGAAAGATTGCTCTATAAGGCTGGTATTATTTCCAAGGACCTTGATAAGATCTTTGCAATAGATTAGGAAATTTCCTTTCAGTAGGGTAGGCTCATACATCCCTTGGTCCATCCTCATAGGTGTTCTGGTAATGATTTCAAAGGGAGACAATTAGTGTTTACCATATGGAGTGGATCTTAGGTTAAATAATACCAAGGGAAGGGCTTTAGACCAAAGCAGACTGAAAGATTCAATGAGTTTTGTCAATTGGGTCTTTATTCCATTTGTCTTTGTCCTACAGTGCCAGAGTACTGAAATGTAATATTGGCCAGATATGGCAAATGGCCTGTAATATTTGTTCTGTGAAATGGCTCCCTCAGTCATTGTGAAGTTCTGAGGGTATTCCCCAGTTTGGAGTTATTTTCTCCAGTAATATTTACCATAGAGCTGAGGCCATAGCGCTATGACTAGGAAAGGCTTCTACACAATGAGAAAACATACAAACCATTACAAAGCATAGTTGCAGTCTTGAGATGGTGGCAGCTGGACAAAATCCAACTGCCATATTTCAAAGGGCCCAGAGGGTAAGGGAAGATGTCCCTGTCATCAGAAGGTAAGGGTAACAGAGTAGCAGGGCTTAGAGAATGATAGTATGCAATAATGACATTTGGGGGAGTCAGCAAGAGGGTTTCATAAAAGGTTAATATACTGGAAGACAGATGCTGAGTATGATGAGTATGATAGTGGAGTTTGCAATGGGAGTTGCTTATTTTTGTGACATATGTTTTAAAATGGTGACTGATAACATTATATCAGGAAATACTCAGATTTCTAGGGATTTCACACAATTTTTGGAACAATGTATGCCTATACAGATGTATATAGGAAGAAAGTATAGTATTATTTATTATTTGACAATGCTTCCCATGTGATTTAACATATCAAATAAGCCTAATAGGTCCTATGGAATTTTCCAGATCAAAAAGACCTCATTTAGAAGTTGATTTTGGGGAATTTGTAGAAAATATCAAAAGGTTTGGACACTTAACCCAATAGGATCACAGAAAATTATAAAACAATACTTAATTATCCATCTAACCAAAATAATCTTCAGGGACAAATACAGAAGATTACACATAGCCACAAAAGCCTTAGCTGTTCTCCTTAGAGAAGATTCAGCTTTCCCAAGTAATCAAAGATGTGATAAAGACAAAACAGAATCTGTTTCCTAGGCAGATTACATTAGAAGTAAAGAAACTTTGTGTACAATCTGTTATCAAGAAAAGGACAACAATTTGAGAAAATTTTGTCCTTTTAACAGAGAAAACCAAAATTTTGAACTAGTGTACTTTTGATATTGAAACGGAACTTTAAGTAAATTCATTTTAATCTTGGCCAGCTTGATTACACATAAAATTCCTTTTCCAAGATTTCTTTCCTATAAACCTCTGTGTCTATTTTAGTTTGTCTTGTTATTCTTTCTCTTTCTGAAATAACCAGCTTTAGGACAAAATCACTTTCATTTCCCTCAACAAAATGCATTTCCATTTCCCATACCTTCTTTTACCAAAAACACATGCCCTACTTTCCCTGCCTGCTTTTCATATACAGTCTTTTTCTTCCTTGTTGAATTTTAGTAGTTTTATTTTCACAAATACTAATTAGAATTTTTAACCCTTAGAATTCTTAATTCCTAGTAAAACCTAAGAAATAAACAATTGTGGACTGGACAATTTATAAATATGTTTCATCATTTCATAATTTCTAGAAGTATAT